CCACCCTAGTGGCGGCCGGCGGTGGCTTGTGGCGGCGATGACTTTTTCCGGCCAAATAAACACACACAACACCTACACATGTTTCTCATTTGCACTATGGACCCAACCACCCACCTGGTGGCTCACGGTGGTCCGACAGCAACAGCAACACAGCGTCCATCAGCAACAACAGCGGCACGACGGTGACCATGGCTTTTGACAGCCGCCCATGTCGGTCTGTGACTCCTCACCAGCAAACGCCCACGCCATCAAGTCTTTACTCTGAAAATGAACCCAAACCCACCGGAGAAGATAGAGGTACGACGGCCCCGACGTCAGCCTCGTCTCCAGAAATCGCCGGCAGCAAACAGCAGCAATGGACTCCAGCGTCTCCGGCAGTCAGCGCCGCGATACCGACGTTCACCTGACACGACAGCAGCGACCACAGCCTTAGTGCTTCACACGGAGGTGTACGACTCACACGATGACGATGCAGTGGTTCTTCCCGGTCTTCGGTGGAACTCTCGGCGACTCACGTCGTTGCCGGCAACGAGTCTTGATGGTGGCGGTTCCGTGGCGTGGCGGTGGGCGGCGACCTCGATGATCGGAGATGTGAGAGTAAGAGGGGTGGCGGCGTCGGAGAGAGAGGGAGTCATAAGGTTGGCGGCTGCATCATTTAGGGTTAGGGCTCGCATGGGTGGAGTAGGGTGACGGGTTTAATACCCGATCACACAACTTTGTGATCAATTAACATCTTTGGTCCCTCCAATCCGATTTCGTTTCAATTTTGCTCCTTTATTTACACTTTAGACCCCAGCTCCTAAATTCTTTTCAATATAATCCCAAAAGTTACTAAAAAGCCCCTCCTCCACAATTTATTCTCAATTTGAATCCAACACTTACACTTTTAGTCCATGACTCCGTAAAATCTTTTCAATTTAAATCCATTAATTACCAAACGTACCCTTGCTTCTAAAATTCTTCTCAAAACAACTCTGTACTTACTAAACAACCCTCCACTATCAAAATTCTTCACAAATTAATCCGGGAATTACATTTATTAATTTATTTAAATAAACTGGGCGTTACACATTGCAACAAAATTGTAAATGTAATGATATAATTGAAAAAAACAAAACACAATTATAATTAAGAAAAACAAAACACGTTGTCAAAATCAAAATTTTGGTAAACATAATAACTTTATTGCAATTCAGAAAAAATGGTTATCGGGAGAACAGGAAGAACTTGGTATTTGGTTGATATTTCAACAAAATTGTAAATATAATGACATAATTAAGAAAAAACCTCGACGTCAATTTTATGATAATGTGACTTTCTTACAATTTGCCATTTATATAATGACTACCATTGAGTATACTTTATCCACTTAGAGCTTAAAAAAACATAGGCCTAAACTATTCAATCTCTCAAAACTAAACACACTATATATGTAATGAAGATAAGAAAACATAATAGTTACGTTATGCAAGAAATTCCAAATAAAAACCTGACAAATTTACAATTGTATTGACCTTTATTCAAGATAAGTTAGTATAAATCCTAATATTTTATCATTGTAAAATACCAACGATTGGAAGAAATTACTCACATTACAAATTTATGAAATCAGCGATTGTAACCTGCATTTAGATGAAAACGTTTCAAGTCTTTGATTGCGCTTCATCTTTTCAAGAACATCCCCGTCCATTTTTTTAAACAGAACTAAACCATGTAGAGGAGGAATTCTATGTGCAGGAAAATAATGACTTTTTATTATCTAAAAACAACTACTAACATATTACATACACACGTATATATAGTGCACACTAGTTTATAACCCGTGAAAACTACAGTTATAAAATTAATTAAACTTTCAAAGTAAAAATTTAAAATTATTAATCAATTATTTTAAATAGTTTATTAATTAAGAGATATTTTTTAATTATATAAAATTATAATTGTTAGTTTAAATAAATACGTGACCTTATAATCTGTATTAATTTAATTTTAATTTTAATGTATTAATTTAATGTAATAAAAATGGAAGAAATTTAAAATTTGAATTTTGAAATGAATAATTATAGGTTGATAAATCACATAATATTAGTTAAGAGGCCTAATAATATGACATATGACACGTAACCAAGACAATGGTTGATGAATAAATAACTGTTACAACTCTTGGAGAATTAACTGTTACAATACCAATCGTAACTACCATCAATCAAGAACCGTTACACCATAAAGATAGCTAATATCTTCTACAACAATTAAATCATTAATTGTAAGTATGAAATCAGTTACAGATGAATGTAAAAAAGCTTTGTTCTTTCGAATAACATGATTATTCAAGTTCAATTTTGAAGCTAATTTGGGAGATGATTTCATAGATATATGAGAACTATAGGAGAAAATTTACGCCTATTTTTTAGCACCCAATCCAAGAAGATTAGTGAACCCTCAAATTATCATCCCTAGATTTTCGAAACTTCACAAATGAAAATAGTGATCAATATCCCTTGATGATCTCCACAAATAAATGATAGGGTAGCAATGTAACCTGATTTATAGGTCCATTCTTTCAAATATTTAATCATCATTCATTTTTTTAAGACACGACCCTTATTTATTCTTTAGAATCTCAATATCCTTATTTCAAACAATAAACCATGGCGAAACATAATAAGTCCCTCTCTTTGGTGTTCATCTACGTCGCCGCATTTCTGTGCATTATAAAAGTAGTTGCCGGAGGCTGTTTCTGGTCAAGTGGGTGGTTTATCAACGTTTGCAATTTAATCCCAAATGAAAAAGTTCTTGTTCATTGCAAATCAAAAGACAACGATATTGGTGGCCCTCAAACAATTGGATGGAACGAATCCGTTCATTGGCAATTCTGTGAGAATATCGTCTCTCCCAGTACTCTTTATTTCTGCCATGTTTGGTTGGGAAATTCCGAACAAGTTTTTGATGTGTTCAACGGCGAATTGAAACATCAGTGTATCGAGAAAGAGAAGAAAGACTACTGGAGATGCACTTGGTTGATCAAGAAGGATGGGTTTTACCTCATAGATCGCACTACTGGTGGTCACAATGACGTTAAAAAGCATGATTGGAAGCCCATTGGATCCGCGTAATCCTGTCTTCACAAATTAATATTTCTTTTTTGCTAAAACTCCAATGTAATTTTGGACCTAATTAATAAAACTTGATCAAACCTAAGGAGGAAACCCTGTCTTTATTCTTAATGTCTTTATCACAGCAAATGCTGCAGAATGCAACTTCATGTTACATTGCCATTTTATTTTTCTTTATAAAAATAGTGGAAGTGTTGTTCAAGGGAGGGGATGTTGGTAGATGAAGGTCGGAAATGATGCGCCTAAATGAGGTGTTAACGTGAGGGTGATGAGGGTATTTTTAGGCTTACTTATTGTTTGTTTTTTAGAAAACCATTTTTTTTCTCATACGGGGGAGGTACATTTTTGGACAAAACTTTTGTAGAACACAAAAGGCATAAAATCATTTTTATCTCACTTAAAAATTAGCTTATGATTTTGGAAGATATCTTCTAAACACATTTTCACTTTCACACATCCTCTAATCTCTACCTCCCCACCTTCAAGAGTGTACTATCAGCTGCCATTCACAATAAACGCCTCTTCCGCCGTTCATGCCAGCTACCCCTCTGTCGCCTTTCTTCTCTCCCATCTCGTTTCTCTTCTCTTGTCTCTCTTCTCACACCTCTCGTCTTTCTTCTGATTGGGGCTTGAAATGAATTTATTGATAAATATTGATTGTTGACACTACGAAGAAGCATTTATCTGGAAAGATAGATGGCCTCAATAGATATATAAAAATTCAAGTTCGATTTCTGTATGTTGAAACAAGAAAATAGTATCTTAATGTTGTCATTGCACCAAGGCCTTTTAAAAAAATGATAGTTTGAGATTAATGAGTATCTAAGTAATAATCAATGGGAAAATGTCTCTTAATTAATAGTTAAGGGATATCTACCTACCTATGTATATCATTAAGTTTTAAATACAAATATACAATAGACAGATTGGACAAAGTAAAGGTTCAACAAGGTGCGTATACTTGAAAAACGAGATTTGCTGTATTGGTCTGATATACCAAAGCACGATTGTCGAAAGGGAGCATCGCATGTCAATTGATGTTGTACCTTAGTTACCTACCAAGAATATCGACACCAATGGCAAGTTTGTAGGACAAAATTAGAAACATTGAACGGACCATCATGTTGAATATCAAGCAAGTTAGTTAACTTCAAAAATAAATGTTGTTTGGAACAACATTTTGGAATGTTATATAGGTATTCCACATAGTGTGTTCTTCACATTTCGAACCGCTCTTCATATTCTGGATTGTTCATCACATTCTGGAATACGATTATTAATTTCAATGTAATCAAAAGGACGGCTAAAGGCAAAGAAAAATACCATATACTAGTTTTCTACGTTATCAGGAGTTGCTAATGAAAAATGAGTAGCTTTCTAAGGCTTTGGATACAAATTACTAATCTATTTGGTACCCTTCTTCGAATTTCGGACTACGTTCTTTCCGTTAATACTCCAAAAAAAAACACACAAACAAGTACACGAAGCAATAACTATCCCATAAAATCTCAATATCGTCATGATCACATGCCAGTTTTTACATCACCAAATAATTTTGAGATGTCTAGAATCTCAATGCACATTCTAGAATTTCATTAAGTAGGATCCCACAAATCTGTATTTTAGAATCTCACTGTGGATTTCGAAATGACATTTCTAGACGTATTTCGTATTTTGTTAAGTTAACAAGAATTGAGTTATTTTCATTGAATATATTTCAATTAATGGGTAGTCTAAAAAATATCCATGTGTTTTCCATTGGAGAATCTTAAACCTTAGATGTTTAACCCTCTTCAACTATCACAACGGTTAAAGCCTAAAACCCTAGAAGCCAGTGGCGGATCCAGAATCGAAACCAATTGGGTTCATGAGATCATTAACAATGGTGTTCCCTTCGGCAATAGTGGTTTCGTAAAACGGCGGTGGCAAGCTACCCCTCCGGTGATCGTTGAAGCTGGAAAACAAAAACAATTTGGTGGTTGTTTTTTACAACAAATAGAATTTTTTGAGTTTTTTTTTTATCAAAAGAAGCAAAATATTCAACAGTTAAAACTGAAATGGGGTTAATATATGAATGGGAGATGGGCATTGGAGAAATAATTTCAGTAAGAAAAAAAAAAGTCAAAGCAAAATATTCAACAGATTCTTATGTTTCCCTTTTTAATTGTAAAAAACAACCTTCCTCGCCCACCTCTCTTTTAAACAATCAAAAAGGTTTTTAAGGATCAAAGTAGATGGAGAATGTATTGTTTTGCTGCAAATATTGCTTCGAGGGCTAGGTACATCCCCAATTCATCATTCCTTGTATTTTTTTTATTTATTATTTTTTTATCAAATAAACATACGATTTATAATCTTAGCAAACTTTATCCTATTGTGATACTATACAAACTTATCAATAAGATTTCATAATTTTAATGTTATATATATATATATATATATATATATATATATATATATATATATATATATATATATATANNNNGTTTTAGACCAGAGATTAGTATGTATGATAACCATTTGCTAACTAGTAGTTTCAGATATTTTTTGATGATAAAAATCATACATTATTTTATAAAACTGT